CAGAGGCTGAACATGAGACTTTCTTCATACAGAGCACCAGTTCCCTCATTTAATGGCACACACCACACATGAACTTTATTTTTAGAAGCAGATCTACACACGTGTGCTAACCATCTCAACATCTTTATTTCAAATTTAAGCACAACAAGTCTTGACATATACATTTTTACAAAAAAAAAAGATCACAGGTGGAAAAATACACCCAGGAAAGACGTATTTTTTAAAAAATCTCATTTCTGCCATCAATATATATCCAAAGAATAACATTATCATCATCATCATCATCAACAACAACAATAAAGAGATTTAGGCCAAGAGATACTTCCCTGGGACATTGTGGATTACAGCCAACCTCATAAGAGAGGTCTGGATGTAATTAAAGAAACTACTTTAAGAAATAAGACACTAAGATCGCATAAACAAGTAAATAAAGAAAACCTGTAAGCGAGACAGCAAATGTCTTACTCTTCTGAATATTCCCTTGTACTTCATATTAAGAATCACCTGCAGGCTATACATCTGATGGAGCTCTGTACGCCTTCCATATTTCCGAAGTCAATGATTTTAGCTAAAAAAAGGAGAGGGACAGAATGCTTAGTATCTTAGAGCAATATCCCTAGTCATCTCTATCTCAAAATATTATGACTTCCAGGGACAACAGTCAAGTAAACAAGCATTTTAGGTGGCAGTGGCTAATTTCCTGCCTCTACCCTGACTTGTTCATAGTGGCTAAAAGGGCACTCTCAGTACATCCAGTGTTTCTGCAGCCCACATTCAGCTTCCAGATCTCCAACCAGCAGGGTAGTTAGTGTGTTTAAAGATACCTTCTTCGCCTTCCCTCCACATCAGCTTATCTCCAAGACTGTACTCTCTCCTCAGCCCCAATGCACACGTTGAGTCTGGGATTATTACTACATTTGCTTTCCTCCACCTGTTTTTAAGAGAATTGGAAGCAACATGTGCCATTGTGTTTGTTCACACACACGGAGAGACACACACATAGCTTACACCTCCAAGCTTCTCAGGATAACCGGATTCTGCCTGTAGCTGAATTCAAAGGAGCCTTCTGGGATTTGCAGTTTATTTATTATGAGAAATGCCCATCCATGAATTCACATCGCAGCTTCAGGTAGGTATTACACATGCAGAAATTATCTATTTCTGCCAAACAGGAGCAGGACGAAAGGAAATTTACTCTAGCCCACTTTTAAGAAGGCAGGTGTCTCTAAAAATACCCTCTTATCTCAACAAGTCTTCGAGAGCACAATCAGTCAAACAATGGAGAACATCAGAAGGCAGAAAGAAGGATCATGGCAAAAATCTCTGCTAGATCACTCTGAAGTCTAAAACCACTGGATAAGATAACTATTGGATACTGCCTCCTCCTCTCAAAGTCAGTTCCATGGCCCAACCTGCTTCTCCCTAAATCTTCAACCTGGAGCCCAAATGTAAGCATCTTAGGAAAGGACTGCTGGGTTATCTAATGCTGGTAACTCCCAGGTAGCAACAGAGCTGGTGAATCATGTACATTCCTGACAGCTCCCCCCACCCCCACCCCCAAATGTAAGGCTTGGTTGAAGGACACACGCAGAGCAAGTAGGAGTACCCCCCTTTTTTCCTGGGGGCTGCAGGAACCAAGTGTTCCAATAGTCTCTAGCTGCATCTAATTCTTTAAGATAAGCCAGGAAAAGCACTTCTCAAATGGTACCCCTTGCAACACACAGCATCTGTGCACTAAGAACATGTGCCAAACATATTGCATGCTTGGCACTCAAAGATCAGAAACGAAGCAAAAGGGCGACTCCCAAAGAAATCAAGAAGTGCAGCAACGACTGTTAGAATTTTTAGTGGGGCTATGTTAGAGAGGAATAAAAAAAAGCCATTCTTCTCAGCAGCTTCCAGTGAAAAGGGAAGTTAAAAGAGTGCAAAGACAAGGTCCCCGAAACTTCTACGATGAAAGTAAGGAGGGGGAAGTGGAAGAAAAAAAATGCATGAATCCAGGTCTAAGGAGAAAACATATTTGATTTAAGGAAGCAGAAAGTGGGGGGAAACACCAAAAAGAGAACACTGTCCTGATCCTGGCTCGTTCCCATTAACAAAAAGCAGCTGCTGGGAGGACAGAGGTGGAGAGAAACCTCTTTTTCCACTACACTGGAGATGACCATGACCCACGGGAATGGCTGTCCACAACCGTCAAGATCAGGGAGTGATCAGAGGAAGCACAGACCGGAACAAGAGGGAAGCCCTCTCGGGAAGGTTTCAGTTCCCCCTGAAAGCACTCTGAGCAGCTGAAGAGGCAACCCCAGTAGCCGCATTTTGGAAATTCCTGTTGGTGAGGATGCCTTGGGAGAACTCCTCTTGGGCCCTCTGGAAGCTGGCTCCCGTCCGGCGGTACAGAGAATGGACCTGGACAAAAAGAGAGCACACAGGCCATCCGTAAGGGCACATCCCTATCGCTGAGACAGAAATTACACCATTTGTCCCCTGCCCCACTTGCAGCACAGATATCAAAGACAAGAAGTGGCATTGCTAGTCAATCACCAGTTCAATATTGAGAACTGATCATAATTTGGCCAGGATTAAATCTATCCGTTGAAATACTTATTATGTTCTTACATAGATGACCTGCCTTTTCTCCAATGGCCTCAAGCCAACTGACATGGCTCTCCTTGATCTGTGCTCACAGCTAAATATATATCCACACAAGGAATCCTGCCAGTCAACAGAAAATCCAACCTGGAGTCATAATCATCATCCGTTCTGGACAACGCTGCACTTCTTCTGAAGGACTAGGTTTGCAGTTTGGGGAAAAGTCCTGGAGCCACTATTGCTTCTAAAAGATCACATGGCTGCTGTGGACAGTTCTTTTGTCCACTTTTGGCTAAAGCATTAGCTGTAGCTTCTCACAGGGAAGATAAATCAAACCACATTTAATTCATGCTGTAATTACCTCCTGATTAGACAACTGGAATGTACTCTAGATGGGGCTGCCCTTGAACAGTGTTCAGAAGCTATAGGTAATGAAAACGGCAGAAGTCAGACAGGTGTCTGGTGCATGCTTCGAAGACCATAGATCACCCATCTGGAACCAAATGCACTGATTTCCAATCCACTGGAATCTAAAGCATGTCATAAGTCATAGTCAAAGACCATAAGAGAAAAGTGACACTAAATGCTTATGTTCTCCCATCTATCAGCACATTGCACTTAGAAAGTTAGTATCTCAGAGAGAAGGCTAGATGAGAATACTCTCCTAGTGCCCGTTGTTCTCGAAGGCCAGGTTGTGATTTCTATGAATCATCTATCCTGGAGGTGTTCTGGAAGGGTGATAACACACCACAGGAAAGACTCACAACCCAGGGCTAAACATTACCTTCTTGCCTTCCTTCCGTTAAGTGGTATAGAAAGAGCAGGAATCCTATTGCCAGGATGCACCCAACTCACCTGCTTCAGAAGGATGAGAGAGAGAACTGCACAGATTGTAAAGAACGAAGCCACCACCATCATGATGATCGCCACAGGCAGGTTATGCCCAATCTCTGAGAGTGCTGCAATCCAGCCACTGGAACAAACAGAGGGGGGGGGGGAAGGGAACCAACAACTGCATGAGCCAGAAACAGAGAAGGAAGCTGTGTGGGGAAAGGGGTGCAGGGATTAAAAAAAAAACAACACTCCACAGATATAAGATCACACCAGATTCAATTGTGAGGTAAGACCTGAGTTTGGAATCGCCCCCCCCCTTTTTTTGAGAGAGAGAGAGAGGCTGTAACTCTCACCCACCCACCCATCCAGGTGCTATGATCAAAGCAAGTTTTTCAAGCTATGGGCCTGATGCAAAAGTCGACTTGAGCCTTATCCATCCTGATGCCTGGACATGCAGAGTTCATATTGGAGGATCCCTGACCAGCATTGCTGAGAACAACTGGAGTTGTCATCTCTAACGCAATCAGTGGGTATGAGTTTGGGGAAGACTAGGCCTTTTAGCCAAAGAACCAACCTTATCAAATGGCAAGCCACAAACAAGACTTGAATTTGTCTCCCATTCTTGGCCTAACATCTTCTGTTCAGTAGGATGCTGTCCCTGAATGCGGAAGCTGTGTTTGGCTATTCAAGATAATAGGTAAATGTTCAAAGAGGATTGAACATGTTAGGAAACAGAACTCTCCATATCCACATTTTGCTGTCTGTACAAATTCTATGTCATCTCAGGATGACATAGAATGGTAGGCTGAGACAAAGTTAATATGCCCAAGCTCTGACTGACCTACAGCAATTACGTGACCTTCAAAATGTGATGGTAATATCTGTCTGTGGCTTAGTAGATTTTAACCCTGCCTATTTATATAAAAAGTTCATATAAAATCAAGAAGACTACCGAGTTTTGCTAGAATCCAGCATTATCCACTTGAGGTAGGGAATTCTGTTCTGCCCACTGGTTAATCAGAAACAAAAAAAAGGTATAGACAGAGTGCTCGACTCAGATCTGAAACGAACACTCTCCATATATATGCCTTGATGGTGCAATCCTATGTATGTTGACTCAGAACTTCAGAAGCATCTCAGTGCCTTCAAAGGACTCACTTCCAGGTGCTGAGTCTCATGTCTCACCCAAGTGTAAACAGGATTGAATAGTGTGGAAACAAAGATAGTTTGGTAATGGTAGGGGTGGGGAGCGCATGCAGGGAATCCAGCATTTCGCCATTCTGACTGTAAACTAAAGCGTAATACAAGACAATATTTGTTAGAAAATGATTTCGCCGTTTGTGAAAGTTATCCACTGGCTTTGGCAAAAACAAAACCAATTCTCTGAAGTCAGGCTGAAAAGAGATGGGTGGAAAGGAGAGAGAGCTGAGGGTGACTCAACGTGACAGTGAAGGATAGCTGAAGTGTAGCACTCCCCAGAGGTTTTTCTCCAGGTTATGTGTAAATATAGACACCCAGTTGACTGCATCTCCTACCTGAAGGGGACCCTGAAACCAGAACTGCCATATCTGATCTTAAAGATTACTCAGATAAATGGCAATGAAAGACGATTGCGTGGCTCTCTGGAATTATTTTTGGGCTTTCCTGCTCTCCAAAATGAATCAGAGATATGAACAAATACAGCATAGAGGTGGAGAAGCTCAGCCACTCAAAACGAGGAGGACTGAATGCATAGTTGCTGCAGACAAGGAGTCTTTCTATCTAGTATTCTCTAGGCAAGGCTGGGCAACTCCCAGAAGTGTGACAGCTCGACGTGCTGAACCCTGGATCCTCGTTGCAGCCTGTCACATGTCCCAACCAAATTTCAAATAATTGTTTTTAAACGCTGTGCAGGTGCCCCATCAGTGCTGGAAGCTGCACTTGGGAGTCTAGAGTAAGCGATACACAGACAGGTGGGACTAGTGGGCATTGTAGGCCAAGGACTCGAGGAGGAACCGAAGTTCCTCCCCTGTTCTGAACAGACAATCAATCAGACTGCCTGTTTCACTGTGTCTTCTCCCTTTGCTGCAGCTTAAATGAGAAACTGAAGAGGTCAGAACTATGCCAGTTTCTTGCAACAAAGACAAGAACAGAAAAGCAGCTATAGTGACATCTTAAGGATGAAGACATTTATTATGGCAGAAGATATGGAGGGTGAGGGCTCCTGTCATCAGCTGCAGAGTTAAACAAAAGCCAACCCACCTACCCCAAATATTCAATGCAAAAGGCTTAGTCTGTGACATTTCTAGGCAAATCTCAAGCCATGGGGTGGAGGTGATCAGTCCATCTGATTCAGAGTAAGGGCCGCTTCCTGCCACATGAGATGACCACTGGAGGACGTGCTGATTGTCCTAGGGGTTAGGTTGCAGAGCAGCATAAGACAGAGGTTTTCTTGTAGTAGCAGCAGCATCACCTGTGGAGCATCATCTAAGGGATATTAAGTTGGCTCCAGCCTTTCTGAATATTTGCAAAGCAATTAAGATGCTATTATTTTGTCAGATCTTTGGCTTTCAATGTATTTTTTACAAAATATTTTGATACTGTGCTTTACTGTACATGATTTTAAGGGCTCAGTTGGGCAGAAATGCTATTTGTTACTACTATAAATAAAAACATCTGACCACCCGGTAAAGTCAGGGCTAACCCACAAGAAAAAGCCCACACAGATCTGTTTAGTATTTAAAGCTAATGCAAGAGCCGTTACTTGGTAGCTCTTTGTCTCTCATTCACTTATTCAGATCGCAGACAGCAATACTGGAATGGTGTCCAATAGATTTGCAGAATTTGGTCCATTTCTGTGATATTCATTCTGAGATTTTTGACTCTAAAGTGACTATATTCTCCTGAATTATCCTATGGAGCTGCTTGGCTACACAGCCAGGGAGACCTAATTCTCTAAAAGGGCTTATTTGGAGTTGGCTTCTTTCTTGCACAGGGGAGTCTCAGATGGATGCTGAGTAATGCCAATTTGACAATGCTCCAAACAGATAACACGGCAGGTCATGGAGAGATGTATCCACTGGCCCAGAAAACCAAGCAAGGAAAGAAAGTGCTAAAGAGAAGGATGAGAAAGCATGCAAGAGGCAAGCACAGCAAGGTGAGGATGTGTTAGAGGAAAGGTCTGAAAAGATACGTGCCTTTCAAGCGAAGGACTTAAGAGCAGGAAGCATGGAGTTAGAGGTGCTTCGGCTGGGATCTGAGGAAGCCGCGGAGCAAGAGAGAAAAGAGAGAGGCTTTAGAAGAGCACTTCTGCAGCAGCTTCAGAGGCCACCGTACCGTCTAGACCCAGCCACCTGTCCTTTGTCACAAACGAACACAACTGGCAGGCTTACCTGTCACCCCAGTTAGGAATTCCAACCGCCTGGATGATGTAGATGGCTATTTGGCAAAAAAATATGAAGAAGAACACAAAGAAGCTGAACGAACTGTCTGACCTGCCAAGAGAGAAAAAGAAAGTGTCTTACAAGAGAACCACCAAATGGGATGTGACGTTTCTCAGCTAGGGCATGTAAATAGGTTTCTTGTTGAACTGTAAGTTACACAGGAGGCACGGAATAGATACAGCTGATTCTGTCACTTGCCAATACCCTTCCTCTAGCAATAAACTGTATGATGTTGGTACATCTATGACTTTCAGGTGGAGTGAGCAAGTTTTGGGACCAGTTTCCAGTTCCTGGGACACAGAAGTAGCCTGTACTGATGTTTCCCCTCAACAGAACCCAAATTAGAAATGATCAGAAGACCACATCCAGATTTTCAAAAATTGTGTTTTTAGTTTAAAATATCTAAAATACAGTGGTGCCTCGCAAGACGGGCGCCCCGTTTAACGACAAAACTGCATTACGACGATCTTTTTGTGATCGCAAAACAATGATCTGAATGGGTTTTTTTTCGCTTTGCTTCGGGAACGGATCCTCACAAAACGATTTGAAAACAGCTGATCGGCGGTTTCAAAATGGCCACCGGGTAAACAAAATGGGCCCCCCGCTGTTTTCTGAGACGGATTCCTTGCTGCACAGGCAGCAAAAATGGCCGCGCTATGGAGGATCTTCGCTGGACAGTGAGTTTCAAGCCCATAGGAACGCATTAATCGGGTTTTAATGTTTTTCTATGGGCTTTTTAATTCTGCATTACGTTTTCGTTCTACAGCAATTTCGCTGGAACGAATTGTCGTTGTAATGCGAGGCACCACTGTATATAAATGCAGGGAGGCCTGCATTTAGTTATGAAGGGGAATCACTGCTCCCAAAGACTTATGATAGTGACAGTTCTCCTTCACAAAAACACAAAAAAGAAAGAAGAAAAAATAAAAAATAAACAATTTATGAAAGGAAGGGTGAAAAGGCACAGAAACAGGAAACGGTCTTAAGGAGAAGCGTGTAGGCTTCATAATAGTTACCCCTGCTGTAAGGTAAGACTGACAGATCTAAAGCCAATCACAGGGACAATATGCCTATAATATCTCAAATGTTACCCCTAATGTCCCCCTCATCCAAAAAGCTTTCCTCTCCTGTTCCACCTCTTTCTAAACACCACTTTATCTTACACTTCACCAAGTGTGTAGCTATTTCTGTAGTTGACATTACAGACACTTTCATGATTCTATAGCTCAATAAGTGAACGGGTCAATTAGCAGAACCCTGCAAATGGGCGCTACCAGGTGTGCCTATGATACCTTAATTTCAGAGTACCTGAATAAGTTTTCAGACATTAATTTAGGGGAGTAAACATATGCCTAGATTTTCCCTGGATTGTTTTATTCTCTATGGCTTTAGCTCTAGATTTAATCTCAATGGTGGAAGTTATCCAACAACCTGTTGGATGTGGCACAGGAAACTGCCTTCAGAAAACAATGAACTCTTCACCTAAGCTCTCTTACCAGTTTATACTGAGAGGCTTTGCATCTTGTCTTGTAATTCCAAGAACTTTCAAAAAAGGTCACTTTGAAATCTGACAAATACAGACTGAGGCACTGATAAGACACACAAGGAACAAAGGGAGCTGTAAAAACTAGCTCCAGATCGACTTCAAACTGCACCCACCCACCAATTACCCCTCAACAG